AATGATGCCAAAAACCCTGAACGCTAACCCTAACCTACCTAACCCTACCTAACCCTTGCCCTTAACCTACCTAACACTCTTCGTGAATACTCTAGCTTAAGGTTATTACTTTTTGACTTAGAGGTTTAGCGGTTTATGTGTTTTTTGCATCCATTCTTGCATATCACAGAAAGTCTTGCTCGCATCAGTTGATGATACACAGAAATCTGGTGGCATCCCTCGTGATAACAAGGTGCCATAAAGTGGATTTCGCGCCATCTTAGCCTATTAGTATTATACTGTACCATACTGACTTCCTGTCGCTGTAGGGGGTCTATTTTCTATGTCTAAATAGTCTGAGGGCGTCTATGTCCCCAGCGTTACTGCCGCGAAACGGTACCCTGGTAACTTATCTAGCTGATATGGTTAGGGTTAGGCGGTTAGTGCTTTAGGGTTGAGTTTAGGGAGTAGGCGGTAGGGCCGACTCCCTAGAATCCGTTAGTGGAGTAGGCGAAGTACAGTCTTGCGCCATATTAGAATAGCTATAGTATTAGTACCGGGTACGTTCCGCGTATACCGCACGACCATATCCAGGGATACATTCTGCAGTTACCCTGCGCGTGACATAGACCCTATTCAGCACTACTGTCAGAGTAGCACAAGTTCCTTCTCACACTACGCTCACTACCGCACAAAGCCCTACGCACTTCCTCACTCCTACAGACGTGTAAACAGTCGGAGAGGCTTGCGACCTCGGATTTACCGTCAGAGTACCTGCCTCAGTGAGGTGTAGGCTTTAAACCCCAGGACACTTGAAGCGTTTCAACTGTAAAAACACGCCGCGCCATTGCGCGCACACTGACAATAAATAATATACATATTAATATATATACTAATATTATATATATAATCATATATTAATAAAAATATAAATAAAAATACATTTATACAATAAATACAATAATATAAACATTGCTTATTAATTTATGTGTCAGGTGGCCGCGCAAATGGCGGCGGCGTGTGTTTACAGTTGAAATGCTTCAAGATCGTGCCTGATGCTTAAAACCACAGGCACCTTGCAAGCGTTTCAATAAAAATATAATGCTAAATAATATACCAAATTACTTTACTACCAACTTCTTAATGTTTCTATTACTCTCTTTCACCTATCTTATTTTGCCGAACAGGTTCCTGTAACATTCCATCTAAATCCTCTATGTACAACACGCTTTGCGGCGACATGAGCTGCCGCCGTGGCTGCACTGTGCACACTTACACTACTATATATATAGGCAGGGATTGAACTAACCTAAAACTGTTCACTAGCAAGCAGGCTAGTGACTGTAAAACGACTAGCCCTTAAAAATATCTCCCAGCCCTTACTTCTGAAGTGCGCGCTGAGGCTACGCAGTGAGTAAAATTTTTATAGCCATTTGCGGGGACGTGGTGGAAGGGGGATGGGGGTGAGGTGGGGTGGATCATGCGGTTTTGATTTTAGACGCATCCGAGATGCATTCTGCGAAATCTTCCTTGACTGTTGAAATTTAGATTCAGCAATATATTCAGATAATATAATATATATAATATATATACTATATATAAACTATACCATATATATAATATTTATATATAAGAGACTAAAATAAATTTACACCCTGAGTGGTACAACGGGGAAAATAGATGCATTTCACTGGACAATATTATTCTACTTTGTATGCAGGTTCTAGACTAAGTTCATGTAGTATTGCCGCATTAAGCAGCCATTCTTTGCTCTTAAAATAAGACAACCGCTTTGTCTCTACGGATACTCCTTTAGGCCGGAAGATATTGGAGCGTAATCATGCTCCACAGGCCTCGTGAAATATATTTGCCGTAAATAGCACTATTCCCATGTTTTTCATTTGTTCACTCTAGGCTGGTATATTTAGCTCTTGATATATATAACCAGATCGCTCACATTTTAAGGGTTTTTTGGGGTTGTCCGGAGGACAACCAAGAGAAGTACTTATGCGTTTGCTCCCTCAAGAGTTTTGGTGTCCGAGAATATTAATTTAAAACATGTTGACTGCATGCGCTCTGCTCACGTGATATGCTCAGTGTGCTAAAAGCAAATAGCCTTTCCTTGATATACGGAAAGTCTGTGCATCAGTTGATGATACACAGAAATCGGTGCATCACTTCGTGATATCCAAGGTGCCTAAAGTGGATTTGCACCGGCTTATGTACCGTACTTACTAAAGACTTAGATTCCGTCTTGCTTTTCTTCTCAACAGACAAGTCTATCGAACCTGAGAGAAGATGCAGCGCAAAATTTACTGTTAGATTTAGATGTATTCTCTTCACAACGCATATTTCTGGTTGTGAAAAGGAATTCGGATCGGAGACACTTAATCGACCTGCCATGTTGTTGCTTCGCGCAAATTCCACCAAAAGATGGCGCTGCCGTTCCTGCCACGCGCCCTTTGCACCCTGAGAACAATATATACATTGTATATACATTGTATATATTGTTCTCAGTTTGCACCCATCGCGCACCAGAAGCACACTAAATCACGACGTTTTTGTTTTGATTGTTCACTGGTTTACCCGCAAGTGCAAACCTTACCTGATGAACTCGAACAAGTACTTTTAAATGAACTACGACAGTACTACACGCGTGATAAAGGAAGATAAAGGAGATAAAAGAGAAGTTGGTCCTCATGTATGCGCACGCTGCTAGAGTATCATGCATTGTTCCCACTAAACTAACACAACACGATTAGCAGACAATGACTTCAGTGACTAGAGTGTAGATCATAGATGAGCGTGCTTCGCATTTTTATAATTTTAACATTTATTCTTATTTTATGTTATTTATTTATTTATTTAATTAAATTTATAATTCATTTTAGGCGCTAGTTTTAATTCCTACAAAATATAATTACATGTCACAATGTCTCCTTGTCAGTGAACATCTTACAAATAAACGAAAATTGTTTCACGAAGAAAGAATCGAATTAAAGCTGAACTTAAAGGGAATAAATAGAAATATCGTGTATTGAAACAATATATGATTAAAACATGAAAATAACGATAGCGACAACGGTAATCAAAGCTTCGTGATTAGACCTACTATCACGTCGATTTTGCGCGATTTCCACGCGCATATAGCATCTGTCGTGACATAATACACTACATGGCGCGAACATGTATCAATTCATTCTTACATAAATAATTAGAGAACAATAGAGCAATAGGATGCGTGTATTCGGCAAAAGAGTAAACCATTGTTGCACAATTGAAAAACTTCTGCACAGAATTTACTCTGAAGAAAATAATAATGATGAATACCGCGCACTGACGTTCACTCATCCTTCTCTTCACACTCACGCGCGTGCGCACGCATATACACACACACACACACACACGCGCGCGCGCACGCATATACACACACGCGCGCGCACGCATATACACACGCGCGCACGCATATACACACACGCGCGTGCACGCATATACACACACGCGCACGCGCGCGTGCACGTCGGACATAAACACACACACACACACATCACACAATCGAACACACACAACTAACACACACACAGAGACACACAGCACACGCGCACGCAACGCATATACACACACCGCGCGCGCACGCATATACACCACACAGGCGCGCGCGCTGGCAGCAACGCACGTACGTCACGCACCGCACACCATGGCACATCACACACACACAGCACACACACACACACACACCACACACACACACACACACACACACACACAACAGCCACGGCGCGCACACACGCACACACACACACACACCACACACACCACGCAACACACAAAACACCGCGCTGCGAGCACACACACTATCACACTGGCTGCCTGCCGCGACGTCTACACGCACGAGCCACAAGCACGCAGGCGCACGACACGCTACACGCCATTATTATATCTGCGAAAGTGGTATACACGGCGGAGCGTAACGTACTTCTTGAAGGTACGACGCTCGATGACAGTGTTTGGTCTATCATTTAGACACGGTTTATCTTCACTACAACTTTGTTGTTCGCAAGCAAATTAAGGAGTTTCAGCCATACACCGTAGCGTAATGCGTAAATAATAGCACACGCATAACACGCACGCACACACACACACACACAGCAGCACACACACAGCCACGACACACACACACACATCTACAATCACACAGCACCATACACACACACATCACATACACACTCTACACGTAATCATGGGAATATCACCGTACGCTCTGATGAGACGTGTGGCGTACGCCACTGCGCGGAGCGATGGAGCGGTGGGCGTGCTGCTCCGTGTGTGGTGTACACTTTTGCTGTGCCGCAAGTTTTCCGCGACAATTTTTGCGAAGCGCCATGATGTTATTGATTTCAGCGATGTCTCCTCCTTTCCACAGCAGTGCGCAACATCTCTCTCCGGCCGTACGCAACTCTCGCGAGATGACGCGACATCCAGGTGGCGTCTGCTACCGGGCTATGAGGGCCTACAGTATTACTGCCTGTAAACTTCCCAATAGACGTGCCATACTTAACGAAAAAATTCCCATAAAACAGCAAGAGTTTTTTTACAAATAATAATGCCATTCTCTAATACTAACGCGCCAGTCACAAATAATTTATCACAAAAAAATTCTTAACCATAATTTAACGTTTGTAAAACAAAACTTTCCGCGCACGATGAGAAATACCTATTTTACAACTGAAATTGCACAAAAAGTAAGAGCTTTCTTTGAAATGTTATGGGCCGGCCCCAGAACACGCAACCTCGGACGCTTGAGCGAAGCCGTTACAACTGTCGATTTAGAAAAAAATCGTAAGTTTTCTGAAATTAACAATGCAAACAGTTATATACTTTCTAATAGGAAATAAAAATTCTAATGCGTATGCAGACACCTGGCACCGTGCGTCAGGGTTGGCGCGGGTCGCTCAAAAAGGAACTCATTCTCAACCTATCCGGCAATGCTGATTGGCGGATTGGCATCGTGGTAACCTTAAAAAGCAGATGATATTTTTTAGGCTAAAAATCTTTTCGCGCTTGCATATCATGCAGACCTAAACACTTTTGTGAGGTCCCAGTAAAAAAAGAAAAAAGTCTTGCCGTGCATGCGAGTTAAAACCATAGGTATGATGAATCCGTGCATGTACACGTCCGCTGTTATTCGAGACGACCGCCGGCTAAAACCTTGAATTTCGTCGACTTTCAAAACTGCAATGCAAGAAAAAGAAGTAGCGATTATCAACTCTTCATTTCGATCACAAACGTGTAGTAGAACCTCATCAATTAGAATTAAACAGTTTGAACTTTTGACACCCTGACCTCTGATTTTTAAAGAATAAATGTCTGACCCCATGTTTTCCCTAATTTTTCAATAGTTAATTGCCTATCTAAAAAAATGCGTGTGACAGTCAAGTGTGTACGATAAGAAAAGGCCATCGCTGTGGCCAACGCATTCCATAGTAAAAGCAATACAGACCAGACAAAACTAAAACGAAGGTAAAACCCATAGATTCGATGACCAAGCTCCTGGAAACACGCTGTGGCAAGCCATTACCAAAAACGTTGACAATCACCTGCTGACTACCTTACGTCAGCATAAACGTCATAGAATGACGTTATGAATGCTGAAATTGTATATTAAGTAAGCTCTGCTCGCATTAAACATCACAATTATGCCATCAGCAACATCGTCAGCCGTGCCGGAAATTGCTAACGACAGAGCTGGCAAACCATATCATCGGCTTGAAAGAACAGAAAGAAATCTATTCGTCAAAAGGACACACCGTGCGTAGAAAAGGTGAGCAACCGATGCTGACAACAGCCTTGATGGACAAGCCCCGGACCAAGTGCTGTTGGAAACGGACTGCCCGAGAAGCACATCGACCTGTAATTGTGCGCTACAATGTCGACAATACAATGGAAGCCATCGACCGTTAACAACGCGTTCGACCGCGTAAGATTGCTGAGACCGCTCTGGCGCCTCTGCATTCTTCGGTGGCTAAGGAAAGGTTGACAGAAGCGCCACCTGGGGAAAGGAGGCGGCCTGACCTGAGAGACAACCGGCTATACAACAGAGGCGAAAAGGCGCAGATGGGAACCAGCGTCCGCACAGCCGGCCCACAGTCTGTCTATGCACGGAGAACGCTCGCGTGGGACGTAAGACGCATCAGGAGCAGAGAGGAGCAGTCTGGTGTGGAAGCACTGAGGTGCGACAAAAGCGTGCTCGTACAAGTCGCCAAAGCACAAAGTTACGACGAAGTGCCATCGTCTGGCAGGGAACGAAGACCGCAAGGCGCCAAACGCGGCATGCACGTTGCCATCTAGTGACGAACTCGCGTGGCAGGGCATGCGGCGCATTTTTCCGGATCGGATAAAGCGGCGCTACCGCCTGGAGTCGAGCATCGCAGATGCAAACAAGGTTGGCACGCGCGAACCAAGAAACAAGAAGGACATGGCTTAAGTGCCGCGTCGTAAGACGAATGGAATACAGCGGCCGCTCTGCCGACGCGGGCCCGACCGTCCGATACGGCCCCCGCCGCGGGGGAGTCGAAGGAGACGGCAGGTAGCAATAATCCCGCTGTGGCGGGTGCAGGTCGGACCGCCTTATCCCAACCATGCTACGCAGTGCGTGTACGACTGCGGTTGTCTGAGAGATGTCAGCTAATCAAAAAGCGGGATTGTTGGAGGCTGGGACATGCGTCCAACAAACAGGCAAAAAGCCGCTCACGCTAGCGAGCGTCCGGCAAAGAACGTGACGTGCCCAAATCACCGCGCCCGCCACTGTTCTGCAACTTACGTCTTAGACGAAACCATCTCGGATGACGAAAAGTCCTCTGCAGGAAGGATCATGCGACATATCGGAAGAGGACGCGGATCGCGCTGCTCATTGCGTCAATGACGACAGACGCGCGACAGCAAAAAAAAAAAAAGGCTCCGCGTCTCGCTGCAGGAGGGCGCGGACTGAAAAAGTAAGTGTTTTATTAGACGCGAGACACCTGAAATGTAAAACTGCGAAAAGTCGTTCTTAAACTAAATTTCAGCTGCTAAAATGTTCCCTGCAAAACCAAAGATAGGGCAAGAACGAATGAACGCGAGTCGCACACGACCTGAGGCGGCGATGGCGAGGTCAAGAGTTCAGGCGGCGTATAAAGCGTCGCGCGGGAGAGCTATAGTGAATTACAGCACGACTTCGCCCACGTACACGAAGTCGATCGCACGACCTGCTATATAGCGCGGCCAATGCGGACGCCATCCGCATGCAATTCGCATCGTTTGTGGCACATAGTCGTTGGAACACAAGTTACCTGCCTGAGGGACCTGTCGCAACCAAACGCAGCGGATCCGCGTCACCTGGAAGGTGGAATCGCTGATCGCTTCACAGTCCGACGCCAGAAAAAAACTCCGT